AAAAAAAAAAAAAGAAATGGCAACAACGAGAAACAGTTAGTACAACGTAATTTTGTTTCCATTTATAACTTCTCTCGCACATCTAAAGACTATACATTCAACTCGATTACACAGTGTCATTACGATAACTCCCTAGCAAGCCGCTTTACGACCATTTATCAGGAAGAACAAGCGAACAAAATGTACATACACATCCAATGATGAAACAAACCAAATAGAAATAAATTAAAGTCAAGTAAGACCAGTGCGGTTAGAAATTTTATACCACAAAAGTCATAACAGGTAAGAACTTTTAAGACGACCTGTCAGAGGTGGAAAAACCTTTCGTCCTCAATTTTTTTTTCAAAACATTTTGTTCTTAATAACCTACTTCAGGACCAAGATAGTGTACCAAACAAACTGTAGCAAAAAAATAAGACAGAAGAAAAACTGTTACTGCCCAAAAGCTCACGTTTCCATCGGACTTTCTAAACCATGTAATCCTTCACTGAACTCCATCTTTTTCGCCTCCACTGCCTTCAGTAAAGCTTGTAACCTGGAACTTGCTTTGAAGCCCAAAACAAACCCTCTCTCTTAAAAAAAAAACCAGCCTGTCGAACACTAACCTATTTCGCTGCCGAATACTTTCTTTCAAATGAGCTCGATGAAAATTCAATTCCTCCTCTACAAGTTCCGCTTTCAAACGGTCGGCAACGTCCCTAAGTTCTAAAAGAAAAACGCACAATAGATGAAGCATAAAACATAACGTCTTGTCTCTGCCGAATCAAAACAAATTACAAAACAGCGACGAGAATGAAACCTTGAAAATATTGGTTCCCTATACAGAAAAGTTTTCCGGACACTCCATTTCAAGCCAAAAAACTCTCCCCGAAGAAATTCCCTCGAGCTTCTTAAACTTGGACAAGTGATAGAAGAAAATAGTTAATAGTGATTAAGGAAGGATTCCACTAGCTAATAATTCGCTAAAACACCAAAAGTGCCCTGAATTTGTAACTTTGCCATCTGTAATGAGCAGTAACTGGTTTTCGCTTAACTCGGAACCAAAGCCTTCAAAAAATAAGCGTTTC